TTTTGTTACTTTGAGTCTAAAATATTTCACCATCCGAGCTAATAGTCTAATGATAAGTTGTACCCGTTTAAGGTCGTCTTTAGTTTACATGTAGTTATCAAACAGAGTTTAATTCACAAGAACGACGTAGTTTGTTGCTTGATTTTAGTGGTGTTATAGTGACAGGCTACCTTTCCGAATTAGTAACTATGATTAAAATCGGGCATTTCACAGTGAAGAGACCCTCATGGTCACCCCTAAAGGGTTATTATTTAGTGGTCACCCTCTCCCCTTTTTGGGATTAAAAAAAACATGTTATGCAACCCAAAAACTGCAACTCCAATGTATATCATTTCTTGGATGAGAGTAAGGGTGTTCATCTTACCCTACGGTTAGAAAATATGATTTTTCGTCTTTCTACTTGATATTTTGTAAAAAGAATTTTTTCTTGGCTTACCCTACCCAATCAAGTGTGGTACTCCTATCCGACTTCCGACCAAATTAATCGGGTAAGAAATCGGGTGAATACTTTTGTAATTATTAATTTTTGGATTATTTTAACAATTCAATTAAATAACATGCACCAATTTAACAACATCATAAACCAATAACACTAAAATCTAAAATAATTACAACAACAATTAGAATAAGATACAAGAAATCATAAACATCAATCTATCATAATTGTTGCACAAATATAATAACAATTATTTTAAGTTTTAACCATATATATAAACTAGTCATAACTCGTGTCTGAAGGCACGATAAAATATAAAATTCTAATACCCAAAAAATCGATCCTACTATATTAAATTTTTTTAACATGTGTATACTATTGTATATGGATAATATTTGAAATAAAAATTATATTAACTACAAATTAATCAAATATTAAATAATGAAACATATGATAAAAATGAGTGATGTGATATTTTTAAAAAAGAAATATATAAATGATTAAACATGTGATAGAAATGACTGATACGANGAAACATATGATAAAAATGAGTGATGTGATATTTTTAAAAAAGAAATATATAAATGATTAAACATGTGATAGAAATGACTGATACGACTTAACGTTTGAGTCTGATAGAGAAATGATAGGTGAGATAAGTGATTGGTGATGTTTTTGAGGAAGAAAATATGATTGAGATAAAATTCAAAGTATGAGTTGTTTTATTATATAAATTAATGCGGGTAAGAATACGAAAATTAATTGTTATTCCTCATTCCGACCCGATTTAATTGGAAGACCAAAAACTCTTCTGCATTTCTACCCAATTTTTTTGGCTAGCAGTTCAATAGGGACGAATAGAATAAAAAATTGCGGCTAATCGAAAATTTGAATACCCCTAGATGAGCGTTGGATGACTGGATTTCACTGAAAAAATTGATGGGACCTATTCATCTAAAAAATAATATACATTTAGCTTGTAACTTTTTGAATTTCATTTGAATTGTGTAGTATTACTCAAAAAACCCAAAAAAAAAAGTCTAAAATACTTCAAACGACATTGGATTGGAACTTGGGATGGAAAGGTATTGACAAAAAGGTTCAATTAGACTGTGTGGCTGCTGGGATTCGAGCCCAGGTCTCCACGGCCACAACGTGGAATTCTTACCACTAAACTACAGCCACAGTATGAAAATTATCCCCCGTTGTTTTTAATTCATATTAAAAATGAACTATCTGGGATTTTCGATTTTACTTGATATAGGTGTCTTCAGAGCAATTTATGTTGTTGCCAATGTCTTTAAAATTTTAGCAGTTAACTCTCTGGCGTAGGAGCAAAAGAAGACTGGCATTGTGGTTGACTGGTTGGTTTCTTTCTCATCTTGTCACACCTATGGCCTGTTTGTTTGGAGGGTTTGGGCAGGTATGTAAGTTGGGTTTAGAACAATAATCCAATCCATTTTTGAATACACTTGTTTGGATGCACAAATTGATCGTTGGATTGGTTCCGAGTATATTATAATTAGTCAAAAAAGAACGTCTCCCACCTAGTATGTATATGACATATATTTGACGAGATAATATGTTATAGAGATTTCAGATTTCTACCCGACAAAATCACCCATAATTTACTGACCAATGAAAGGAAATAA